GATAGTATAGAATCTTCGGGCAAACTACTTAAATTAGGCACTCAAAAGATGTACGTGTGGCTTGATATACCATTGTTATAATTGCATATAAAACACCGTTTCAAATCCTAATAAAAGCTTTCAGGCCAAAGAGGTCTCTTTAACTTTAAAAAAAAAAAAAAAAAAGATCCTTCAAAGCAAATAAGAAATGGAGCTTCAGACTTAAGAGTTTAAGTAGATTATTGCCTACACTACAATTACGGAAAAGAAACTGAGAGGATTTGTACCCAATAGCAATTTGCAGAAAATGCAAAAAGAAAAAAGAAAACTTTAAGCACCTAACATCCTGCGAAACTGATGAACAACACTGGGTAGAAAAAGAGTATTCAATTGCAAAAGAAATCTGGGGGAATCTAAATGACTCTGTAAAAAAGAAGATCTTCCAAAACAATATCTACTCAGCGTTCGCTAGTGGAAGCATCAAGGAAAGACACAAGAAAAGGTGTTACTTGGCAAGAGAACTAATCGAGACAGACCTATCAGCTCTCTTACATCAACAGGAATTACTAGAAAGATACAGAACTAGTAATACTCGAATGGTGAGACAAGTGGCACAGCTTTTTTCAAGAAGAAATCTGGCTCCAACGATGCGAAGAAACTGTAAAATAGAAAAAAGAGCTGCAGATAAACCCCAAAAAGAAAAAAGAAAAGAGGCCCAAGACAATGAAGAATACCAGAAAGACAAACATAACCGATTTGGGTGATCCACCGAATACTGCCAAGGAAGAACTCAAGAGAAGGAAAAAAGAAAAAAACCACTAGGATATTTTCAAAGAAAAAATAGATATAGTAATGGAAGAGGTGAATAAATGGATATGGACCGGAAAATGGTCTAGGTAGAACAAAAATTAGATTAGATCATAACAGGCTGTAGATCTAGGCCAATGAACTGCAATTCTGTTATTTGAGGTAGATAAGGGAAAAACAGTGTGGTTATTTCTACTTTGGCAAGTCATATATAGGTACCAATTGGCAATCGGGTAAGCCACACTTTAGTTTAAAATAGCATAGCTATCTTATTTTTTAATATAAATTCTATGATATAAAATAAAGTTGTAACATAATCGTCAAAAAAAAAAAAAAAAAAAATTAAACAAAACCAAATTATAATCTATATTAGAGATAAAATTATTTAAATTAATTTGCATTAGATTTAAATTTTTATTTTATTTTATATTAAATCTTTTCTGTATATTGTATGCAGAGATAACACATCATAATATTGGACATTTGGACAATTTGGATATTTAGACAATATACAATTTGTCCAAATAATTTAATTGGACATAATAAAATTTTATTGGACATAAAAATATTTTTTGATTAATTATATATACTGTATTTTCGCGAAATAACAGACCGGGGCATTATTTAGAGTAATAGTCTAAATTAAGCTTAATTTAGGCCAAAATTTGAAATTACACCCCAGCGCATTATTTGTGAAAATACGGTAGTTATTTGGCAGTCTGATCATAGTAATATATTGGATAAGTATAAGATATTGGTCATGTGATGATCCAATATCGATGTTATTGTGCAATTATGATCATGATTTTCAAATCATTTTTGGCTAACTAAGTTTTAATTCGAGATTGTTGTGCTTATATAATAACGTACAAAAAATAACAAAAAGAAAAAAATCTATAATTATAAGAGTTTGCACGATAAATTAAAATTATTTACCACATTATTTATAATTAAAAATCTTTATTGAAATTAAAAGCTAAAATTATACATTATATAATCACAAAGAGCACATTACTACTATTAGGATTTTAGAATTAATTTATTTCGAAAATAAATAGAAGTTTAAAAAGTCATACCTTACATTTTAAAATTCCAAATCAGAAATCAGAGCCTTAATTATGAAACACCCTAATAAAATTATTGGACAATTAGATATATGTCCAATTAATTTGATAATTTATTGAATATTGTCCAATGTCTAACAGTTCAAAAAATAATTAAAATTAATTGGACAAATTGGATATATGTCCAATATCCAAATGTCCAAAAGTTTAATTAAATTTATTTGGATATTGTCCAATACCAACACTGATTGTATGGGTTTATTATAGCTTAATAATTATAAAAGTTTTACTATATATTTATTTTATTTTAAAATTATATTTAAAAATTTTATAAGTTTATTCCTGTGCATTATTGTACAGGTTTACAACTAGTCATATAATAAATGATTTATGTACACTCTACTTTTAAATGCTATTTTGTATGAAATTAAATATAGTGCTCAGCAAAATCAAACAAAAACTTGATTATCAAGCTTTTGAATCTATTAATTTATAGTATTGTACTTTAATTATAAAATTTATATTTACTTTAATCTGGCTTTAAACTTCATGTTAGTTATTACAAAGTTTAAAGTAAGATCTGATTTCTGTTAGATTTATATATATACTAAAAATAAAATATATTTAATGTACAATATTATAAATTAATAGATTTAAAAATTTAATATTAGAGGTGTGATAGCTTAGTGTAGTGGTCTAGTTATCACCTTCTCCAAGTAGCAGGTTTAGAGTTCAAATCCCACTGGCAATGATATTTGAAAAATAGACCTGTGTTCGGTTGATAGCTATACTTATTAGTTGGATCTAAAACTAAATCTGTAACTTCGGTCACATCATCTCGTAATAGAAGCTTTGGCACAATAAATCTGAGGAACTGGCAAAACTGAAAACCTATTTGGGAAGTTCCGAATTGGAAGTAGCAGGGATCTTTGACAGTATTACAAGAGGGCTAAATTCAAACTGGGCCCGAGATTGAAGAACCGAGCAACCAGGTCTGCTAGCAGAAAACACACTAGCCAAACTGCTGGGTTGTTGCACCAGAGGAAAAAGACATATGCTCCGAAAGTATGGACCAAGGGGAGGGTGTCCTTCAGGCATTTAAAGCCTAGGCAGATCAACTTTTTTGGGTTGCTGGCTAGAAGTAAGGAAGAGACCAATAAAAAATCTGGGTAAGAAGATGGCTAGAATGCAGGTACTGGGTTGTTGTAAACCCAATTAAGGCAGGGATATGTGAGACAACACTCTAGTACTAACTTAGGTTTAAAGGCATAATATCTCTAAAATCTAATCTGGAAACGTGTAGAACATGAAAGAAATTAGGAAGGTATCCAGTTGTGCCTTCCTTGGGTAGTGCTGCCTTGTGAAAATCCTGGGGTACTATCATACAAACAAGATAAACTAGCTAAGAAATGTCAATCTAGGTAACTTTAAATATAGTAGTATGAGATATGCTAGGCTTAAATTTGTAGAGGTGTACAGGACGGGGGCACCAGAGAGTTTAAATAGATAGCTTCCTAGTTAGGCTATAGATATAGCAGCTAGTGTAGAACTCTCGGGTGAACTACTTAAATAGGCAACCAAAAGTTATACGTGTGGCTAGTTGTATTCTCATTACTTAATAATGTATACTTAAGATTTTTTGTAACTCATCTAATAAAGAATTTGCTGATAGCACGGCATTTCAGATACCATAAAAAAAAAAAAAAAACTTAATGTTTTTTTGTATAAAATTGATATTAAAGAGATATTATACTTTTTTTAATAATAAAATTATACAAATGTGAATTATTAACTTTAATAAAGTGTATATTTTATAAACCTTGAAAATCACAAAAACAAAAGAAAAAAAATAATTAAGAAAACATGTGTTACTAAAATTGGATTTAATAAATTTTTTGCAAAACAAACCCTTGAATCTATAATCAAAGATATTATTAGTCAAATATCATATATAATATTTGAACCTATTCTAAACTTGAGTTATAATCACTTTATGTAATTTTCTTTTCAAGCAGTTTTAAAAAAAAATTTTAATACTTTTAGAAATACCACAGATGTAATATTGAACCATGTTTAAGATACTTTATATGTTTCTTTTATATTCTGCAAATTTTATATAGAATAATAGAAATTATTTAGAACAAATGATTAGTTTAATAGCATATTTAAATGCTATCAACTTTCAAAATCATGTTGTAAATTTGTATAATTATGTATCTTATTGGATTTAATAAAAATTAAAAAAATAATTATATTTTCTTTGCAAAAAGATATTTGTACACTTATATATATCAGCTTGTTTTCAAACCCATATATAATTAACCTTTTTTACTTTTTTAGTTTATTATAAACTTAAACCTTAACATCACATTTTGTTGAAATCTATACATGTTATATTTTTAAAAAAGTAAACCAAGTTATATTAGAAAATAAATTAATTCCTAAAGAAACTATTAGATAAAAATAATGTAATTATCTTTAACCACTTTGGAGGATTCTTGTTATATTTGAAAAAACAATTATGCTAATTCAAATAAAAAAAGTTATAAGTTATAATTATTTACAATTTTACTACATACCAGATTTCATTAGTGGTTTATACTTATATACTCTGATACTTTGTATCAATTACTTTCAAAAATAAATTTTGTAAATTAAAAAAAAAATATCTAAATCAGATTTTAGTAAAAAATTAAAAAATGGTAAAAAATAGCATTTTGAATTGAAAAGGTTATAACAACATCAACAATTTAGATTTAGTATTATGACTAATGATGTGCTTCAACATATATGTACTCTTATTGAATTCTATGGTGCAAGGCATTGGCTTCATATATGATGAAAATTGCATATTAACCATAATAAGGTATATAATACAATCTGTGATCAGATTACCAATAAAAATTCAAGAACAATAATTATATATAGAGATAAAAAATTTTTAAGTTGCTCTAAAGGCCATACACCTGGACCAATTAAAGGGTTATACAAAGAGTTGCAATGAAGATTGGAAGAAGAGTTCAACTCATAGATGAATATTAAACAAGTATTATATATTCAACATGCAATAGACAAATGGATAAACAATCATGATTTTGGTTGCTTAAAGTATGCAAGAACATATGTTTAGTAAGGTTCATTTTATTTAATTTAATTAGCGAGTTTCCAAGATTTTTTAGCATACTTTCTTTTCAGACCCTCTGGAACCGTGACACAAATGCTGCCCATAACATCCGCCGTCTATTTCACCATATGAACTCTAACAATGGTGAACGCCTAGAAGAATTCCATAGATCTGAAAATAGAGACCGATATGGAAGTGAAGAATTGCCGTTCGCCGTAGCTACTTCGGGAGTAAGTCGGATGCATAGGGTGGGAGCGGCCTGATGATTGCATACCATGTCTGTAAAGTTGTAGCTAGCTGGGATCTCCAGTGTATTCGGACACTCTTTTTGAGTACCGTAATAGTAAGTATAATTATCAGAATAAAAAACAAGACTTTTACTAAAACGCACCTATGGTGTTTTCACCTATGTATATATTATCTCAAAAAAAAAAATTGGCTAATTAATCAATACACGATATCCTAAGTAAAAATGCTCTACGCCCTAAAAACCCCTTCCCGAACTCTAACTCTAAGCCTAAATACTAACACTAACATGAAAATTTTGCGTTGAAAATTTTTATATTCAAAACTTAGAAAAATTTAAAAAACATTATAAAACATACGATAGGTGCAAAACCACCATAGGTGCGGTTTATAATAAATGAAAAACGATTATTACTAATTTATTAACTGCTTTTCAACAAACAACTTTTACTATAATTAATCATCATCATCTTTTCATCATATTTCATATTTCCTCTCTCATTTATGTGAATTTCTTCTGTACTTATCTCTAGTCTGATTGCTCCGTACTTACAACGGTTCTCGTTTTTCTAGTCTACCGCATCATGCTGTTAATTTAATAATCCAGAATGACATAAATGTTATATTTTGCTTAGAATAAATTGTACTGCGCTACATAAATATCTGATATACCCGTTAATTAAATTGTAAAAAAACATATATATAAAATGTAATTTACTTTCACAGTTTTTTGACGCAGTATCATGTGAAGTGTTTGCTGTGTTAATGTTTGATATAATGTACAAATTCCTCCAACTACAATTTTTTTTGGCTCTACAAGACGAAATTGCAAAAATACAAACTAAAGTGGAATGGAGGCTGTAATCCAGTCGCAAGTTCCCATTTATACAATACATGATGTAAAATTCAACGACTTGTGTGATCATATGAGTGCTGGTTACATACCAGTGCTCATTGATCGGATAGTTATTACTATTATTCAAATAATATTACACATACTTAATGAAGAAGAAACGTAAGTGAGGCTGAAAAACAATCCTTACCTTGTAATACTGTACATGTTATGACCAAAATTTCAATTATGAACACATCTAAGGAATGCTCCCGTATTCTTTTTTATCATCGTTTGTAAAAACCTTACCGTAAGGAAAATATGCATTTGAATATAAACTAATTCTGATAGATATTATCAAATACCTGGACTTCGCAGTGACTATGATAAAAAATTAGGACACGTCTAATTGTAATATGGGTGCCATAACGATAGAATTATACTAACAGAGATTACGGAATTTTGATTGGCTAAAAATTTTAACCAATCAGATTTGCAGAATTTGTCAACTTTATTTTCATATGTAACCTTTAGATTTCCGTGTGCATTCGTTATTTCTCGACTATATAATATAGATTATTATATATTACTGTATATTTTCAATAATCTACTATTTAGATCTCCTAGTTTCACTTGACAACATATGTGCATGCTGTATATAGCTACCATTAGAATTCATTTATAGGATCATGGCCTTGCCACATTATTTATTTGTGCACAAAATTTACTTTTTTTATGAGTTTATTAATAATTTATTTTGTTTTCATTTATTGTAGAAAAAGCTATTTATTATATTTACTGTAATATTTTATATTTGATTGTTCAATTTAAAATTAATATTATTGGATTGAATATTCAAAAGAAGCCAGCGTGATGTTCTTGCAAAGCGAGTTTGCTAACACTTTTCCTCCTTCTGATCCAAGTTTATTACTAGCAAGATTTAAAGGGGCCAATGTAGTATTCTTAAAAGTGTATGTATGTGCTAATGCTTTCACTCTTTCTGATCCAAGTTTATTTCTAGCAAGATTCAAAGAAGTCAGCATGGTATTTTTGCAAGTGCATCCGCTAATGCTTTTCCTCCTTCTGATTCAAAATTATTACGAGCAAGATTCAAGAAATCAGTGTGGTTGTTTGTGCAAATGCACCTGCTAATGCTTTTCTTCCTTCTGATTCAAGATCATTATTCATAAAATTTAAAGAAGTCAGCGTAATGTTCTTGCAAAGAAACTTTGCTAAAAATTTTCCAATTCAACAACAATCGATTACCATAAAAAATCTAAAAGAGTTTAGGACAGTTTTTGAAATAACCTTTGAGGATTTCACTTCTTCAGAGCTAAGCTGATTAGATGCAAGCTTCAAAGAAGTCAAAGCAAAACTCTTATAAAGGATTTTTACTAATGCATCTATTAACTTAGACTTAAAATCATCATTATAGTATATAAATCCAAATTCATGAAGGTAACGGTAGTGTTTTCATAAATTTCAAATATCATTTGATTACAAATAATTTTATTAAGACCTAAATATTTAAGATTCTTACTAGTCCAGTTAGAGATTTTACTAAATTAGGAAATCGCATTCTAGAATAATCCCTGTATCGTCCCGTGAATTTGATTGGCTGAGTCACATTTTTTTTATGCCTATACTCGCTGTGGCTTTCACGATATTTTATCAATTTATTCGATATCAAACGATATACAAATATCTAATATAAACCGCTAATTTTAATTGATCCCACTTGATCCCTCACAATAACCCGTTTTAAAAAAAGTAAATGAGAACTTAAAATAAGAGCTTTTTTCGGATTATTAAGTAAAAAGGTTTAACTTCTTTATTAAAACAGTGTCTTAAAACAACATTTATTTAGTGTCTAATCAACAAGACGAAACAGAGAAGGTTCGAAAATGCTTATTTGAAGGCTTAGTTGGAACATATAAACGATTTGGATTAAGAGCTTGTGGAACAAACGAGAAACAGAAATGGCAGGATGCGAAAGGCCCTACAATAGCTGGGAAACTTGCGCTTTATTATGATTACATTCCTGAACTTGCTAGTTTATCTTTAGATTCTTACTCTCTTTGTTCATCACATTATACTCAAATACTCTCAACTAACAAATTTTATGAGCGTCTTGTAGGTTCTACCCAAGAAAGCAAAAGAACTCGGCTTGAAGAGGATAATCCGGTTGTTCCTGTAGATTCAACAATTGAGCTTAGTGAAGCTAGACAGCTTTTGGATGAAAAGTCTCAGTTAGTAATTGAACTCAATAATCAAATTGCACGGATGCAGCAATATATAGAGAATCAAAAAAATGAGATCGAAGAATTGAAAATTCAATTATGAAAGGCTCAAAATAATATGATTGATATTCAGGATTTGTATAATGGGCTGTATAGAGATAACAAACTCTTATTGAGCAGTGGGATTCAAGATTTGCTACTCAACAAAAACGTATCGATACAATAGTTGAAATAGCGAATAAGGAACGTGTTTCATTATTTGATGATATATCATTATTGGTTCAAGATAATTCTAGGTTTTTTTTTATTTTTATTTTTATTTTTTAACCCTTTAGCGAGATTGATATAGGATGCCATTAGCGTTCTTCTCTTCTTTTATTTACTTAATATAGCTTATTTTACATTAATTATAGGTTTTCTTTAGAGTGTCTTATGGAATATAGTCCACG